CACCCTGGAGGCCCGCCCCCCACCCACGGTCCCAGCTCCACCCTGGAGGGCCCCAGCCCTCCCGCCCAAGGCCCATAACTGACCTTTCACAGCAGCAGCAAGGGGACCACGCGCCAAGCCCAGCCAAGTCCTGCCGGACCTGGGGCTCCTCCTGCTACCAAGCCAGGCCAGTCTCGTGGTGGCAGGACCCAGCACGGTACGTGGGGACCACGTGCCGAGCCCAGATGGGTCCTGGGGCCTATATGCCGCCTGGCCAGGCTGGGCCCGTGGCAGCAAGACTCAGCGCCAGGCCCAGCTGGGTCCTGGGGTCCCTCTACCACCCAGCCAGGTCAGGCCTGGCCCATGTCAACAAGACATGGCGCGGCATGTGGGGACCAAGTGCCAGGCTCAGCTGGGTCCTGGGGCCACTCTGCCACCCGGCCAGTCTAGGCCCATGGCAACAAGACCTGGCGCAGCATGCGGTCCCCGCATGCTGGGCCCAGCCAGGTCCTGTCAGCCTTGGGGCCACCCTGCCATCTGGCATGGGAACTGCGCGGAGCTGAGCTGGGTCCTGCCGGCCCTGGGCTGCTCCTGCTGCCCTATAGCGGCGGGACCCATTTTGGTGCGCGGGGACCATGCGGAGCCAGGTCTTGCCAGCCCTGGGGCTGCTGTGGCTGCTGGGGGGTGAGGACCTAGACCAGCCCCATGTGGCTCTGTAGTCCGGCTTTGCACCAGAGTGGGTTGCATGGCTCCAGGAGGTGCACACAGGAGCCGCGCCTCCCGGAGCTGTGTGACCTGCTCCAGTGCAAAGCTGGACTAGCGAGCTGCAGGGATCTGGGCCAGGTCCTCACCCCCCCGTAGCCCTGGGGACATCCCCCCTGCCACTCCCCAACCTCCTGCCACCCCTCACCCACCCACACCCATGAACGCTCCCCCCACATTTATCTTGGACAGCGCCAGGGCCAAGAGCAGCAGGAGCACCAAAGAGACACTCTGGCCAAAACCAGAGCATCTCTTTTGGAGGACTGACTTCCTGCTGGCTCCAGGCATAGCCTTGAACCATGCCTTGCTCTGCTCTATTGCAGAGTGGGTTTTTTAGACCACTGGATATTCAGGGGTCTAGTTTTCTCCCCTGCACTTGCAAACTTGCAGCACAGGGAATATTTTTTCATTCCCACACATGCCTCTTGCCCCACCTTAAAGGGGTTTGAGATGGGGCAAAAGGCACATGTGTGCTTGTCCGGACGCATCCTATAAGGTCAAAGAGGACCATTTAGATAAGTGTATGTCGTTCCCCACATTCTTCCTGCAGCTTGTGAAATTACATGGTGAAACTAAACAGAAACCATGCACCAAGATGAACTTTCAGAGAAAACATATAAGGGATAGAGAGACACAAGCAGAAATAGCAATGCATTTTTCATAAAACAACCATTCCTTTCTGACCTTTCACAATCCACATTACTGCTCTTTTGGTCATGATATCCCAGTAATTAGCTTATTTTCTTCTGCTGTTTGCCTGCTATCCCTGGGAATTTCTCTTCTCTCCAATTTCATAGCTCTGGGAGCCACAGCAATTAAAACTGAAACCACTCCACCCACCACCTCCACCCCCTCCCGACCAACAAGTTTCCAGGCCCATGGGGAGTACCTCTCCCTGTCAGTTCACTTGATCAGGCAGGCATATGGGGTTGATCTACAGCCAGGCTCAGCACACCAAGTCTGATTCAGCACACAGCCCTGGACCTGGCACATCAAGTCTGGAACCACACACTAGTTCTGGGGCTGTGCTCTGGGTCAGACATGGGACGCTGAGTCTGGGACTATGTGCTGGCTCCATAGTCAAATGCCAAATTGGACCCGGCCTGTAGCTCCAAAGTCTGCATGTGGCCCAAGATACATGTGGTCCTGGGCTTGACATGCTCTTGGGCTGCACAGTACTAGACTTGCCACGTGCAGTCACATGTACCACACTGGACAGGGTCTATCGTGCAGCCCCAGACCTGCCGCATTAGACTGAACTGTGTGGCCCCAGACCTGCTGCCTGGGGCTGACAACAAGTTCATCTCATATGCTGCTGCTCAGATACTTACCAACAGTCAGATCTTTTTTTCTTCCTGGTACCTTTTAAAAAACAGAGGATGTGTTATATTCAGTCAGGTTATATGTGAGAAATTACAACATACCAACATAGACAGTGCCTGGCTTCTGCTGTTGAGGTGCTCTGGATGGTCACAAAGATTCTGCCTAGGGACAAGGGCACATCAGAACATGTGCAAACAGAGATCTACTCAAAGATTATGGCAGGATCCTGGCAAGTGCAGGGCTGGGTCCTTCCAGGGCTTTTTCCCTTGCTTGACGAGGTACTGTGGCACACAGCACCTATTGGAGCATTTTACAGCTATACTGCTGTCTGGTCTATCCCTCCTTCTTTCACCTAAAAGAAACTCTTCACACCTCACTCTCAGGCCTCTCTGCTCTGATTTCCTGTGGTCCTCCTTCCCCATCACGACTGGCTACTAGGGGTACACCAATAAAGATTTTTTGGGCCACTTTTGGGCCAACTTTTAATGAGCTATATCGGCTGAAACCAATCGGAGTACTGATACACGGCACGGCAGCTGGAAAGCAGCATCTGGCTGGTAAATCTGTGGTTGGGAAGGGACATGGGGGGGGGCAGATCAAGGCCCTCATGGTGAGGGAGGAAGTGGGGATAGAGAAAGTGCTACATAGTCAGGGCAGGGCGAGACATGAAACAGTCATGGCTCATCCAAGTGGCAGCTTCCCTGGATAAGCTGTTCGCAGCTCTGTCCCACACCCCGCCCTAGCTGTGCAGCACCTGCCCCACTCCCTCCGTCACCCCAGGGGCCCCACTTAGCCTCCTCCACATTCCCCCACAACAGATTTATGAGCCCGACGCTGCCACGCTGTGCTGCAGCTGTGCGCATGCACATGGCATTTATTGGCCACATAAGCTAAAAAAACCGATTACTGATTATGTCATTTTTCCTTATATAGGTGCCGATACAATATGGGATCAATATATCAGTGCACCTCTACTGGCTATTTGTGTCCCTGACCTTCACACTGCAGTCAGTCACATATTCCATTCCCTATCTATGATCAACCACACTACCTCTTATGCCCTATTTGCTCACAGCTTAGCCATAAAGGCTGATGCACATCTCTTGCTCTTGAATTGGGCTCTCACACTTACCATGTTTCCCAGTGCCCCCCACACCCACCCCCTCTGCATCGATATGGGGCCTGCATTTGGCTTACCTTCTTTGGGACTGGTACCACCCATTAGGTGGGCTCTGAGAACAGCTACTGGATTGCCAGAAAATACAGCAGAACCATAACCAGCCTTTAGACTGCACTAGGGCCAAGGTTCCTGGCTGCTAAGCACCATCAGGCCTGCTGTGCTTTTAGATGTACAGCATGAACAGAACATTAGGCCCCTGAGAATCTTTCAGGTTGAAAGCCAAGATGTTTTCAGGGTTGTGCAGCAGCTGAGCAGTAGGGAAGATTGGACTGCACATTTGGATTACCCTAAATCCCAACTAAGTCCCATTTTAGGCATATCAGTCCTTTACTAGACCTGGCCCCAAATCTCTCAGCACTGTAATTTTCCATTAAGTGCACGTTGACCAAATCTGGACTCTCATGAAGAAAGGCAAAAGTCAGGTCCCTGCCAAATTTTAAATCCCTGGCTTCAGAGCACAGGGATATTTAAACATTTCAAAGAAAACACAATTCTTTTAGCATAGGCAAAATGATTCACTTTAACCTCTCAATTGGAACTCTTTTATTTGGAACTGTACAAAAAAGATGCATCATCTAACCCACATCTAGGATGTAAAGTCCCTGCACAAATGCTTAAAGACTGCCAAAGTCATGAGCAACTGAAAACAGGGTCTTAGACATAATAGGCAGCACTATCAGCCCCATCTCCAATTAGCAGCTCTGCTGGTAAATGCTGTTAAAGCAATGCTGAATTATTGAACTGCCAAACTGAAACCAACTCTCAATATACAGACCAATGTTGGTGCACTTTAGCTGTTAGATTAAGGGAATGAGATAAACGGATGTCTCGCACCATCCGAGCACCCCTAAAATTTCATAATGGAAAGGACCAAAAACTTCATATCTAAAGTTTGCCTTCTTTATGTGAAGTACTGTCACATGATGATCCAATTCTGTCTGTCCAACTGAAAGGGACATCTATAGATGACCATGGCTATCAATACTTCTGCACAGTCTATTAATCCCAAAATTATTCATTTCCAAAGTCTATATAGTTGCCTGCTTTAAGAAAATTAAAAAGTAAAACATTTCCACTTAAGAAACAAAGCCCAAGAAAGAACTAAGGCTTTTTCTGATAGAAATTGTTCAAACCTGACTTTTTGCAGGTACTAGAATAATTTGACCACTGCAAGACAAAAGGATGTACTAACTCACATTCACACGTTTTTCTACCATTTTTGCTTGAACTAAATAGTTACAATACTGGTAAACATAAAAAAAACACTACACGCAACCAACTTCAAAGTTTAAATTTAATGTTTTACCTACAGAAAATGCAATACAAAGTGAAAAAAAAGGGTTTATGCACTAAACATTATGGTACAAAATAGACACACTGCTGTTGAGGCTAGCCTTAACAAAAATTTCTTTCCCTTGGTCTGGCACCCTGGCCACAGGACAAGTTTTTTTGAGGCTATATGTGATTGTGGTTCAATAAATCCAACGCTGCCTTTGATAGTGAGTTTTGCAGAATTTGGCAAAAAGATAAATTGCTGCTTTTACAGTTGTCAAAAAATTAAGTCATCAGCTCTTATTTATTATTTCCTTGTGTGAAACAGACCAAAGCCTATGTTATAATCAAGAATAAATAAATGCACTTCTTTCAGCAGCTAATTAAACCACATTGTACCACTAGCTCATCTGAAATTGAAATCCACTATTCTGTTCTAGTAAGGAACTTTGCTCTTGAAATGAAAACACTGTACCACTGCTCCCAGGTTACATATATGCTTCCCAAATATTTCAGGGGAAAACACACTTTCCATTGCAATATTTTGATACATAGAAATATGTACGAATAATTTAATGGCTTCAGAAGTAGAATAAGTGGTAATCAACTCCTTCATAGTCATTGACTCTCACATTTATTAGCACACTTGATAGGAGGGCTTTGCTTCCCTCTCCCTCCAGTCAGAACAGGAAATATCAATTCCATAAAAATACAGAGAATATTTTAGAACCTACTGAAGGCTGAATTTTTAAGTAGGAGGATCTTCACCTCGAATAGCTTTGTATTTGGCCATGTCCTCTGGGAAGACCTTTGTCAGTTCTTGAATTAATAAGCTTTTAAATTTCTAGAAAAAAAGAAAAAATTACTATTTATGCAAGCCAGTCCAACAGAGATACTGGATGAACACAAATATTTGCAAACATAAACTAGCTACTTTGCCATCCAGTGACCCCCGTGTATTCAAGTTGGGAAATGAATCGTACAAAACCCATTATTCACAGTAACAGTCTGGCATCAATTTGTTGAGGGGCCAACTCAAAGTGTCTTGAACCTTATATTTATAAGCGTGCTAGCAATCTTCCAACAACTATAAAACAAGCAACATCTCAACAAACTCTGCTGTGCTGGGTCCAGCATGGCCCTCCAGGGTCTAGTGTGCAGAGCAAATACATTCAGTTTGTGAAAGACAATTACCTCCGCTACCTTTCACCACATTTCCTATTGCTTCTCTTTCAAGCTAAGGAACAGATCTTGCAACTGTTGCCTCTCTCCTGCTGCAAGACCTCAGCAATTAATCCATTAGTTACATTTTGCACCTCAAAGTAAGGTAAGGTATAAGAATGTAATAAAGAAAGTTATAACAGGAAAGAAAAATAGCTCTGATTACTGCATTATTTTGCTCCACTATCGCAATGTCAAAGATTCAAAGGAGTAAAGGGAGCCCCCTGGCTAGCACTCTTTCTGTCCAGGGAAGTACCTAGTATAGCTGGTTTCCATCCCTCACCACCACAGGGAAAAATAGGGGAGAGGATCTTTGCCCTGAAACCAGTCAGAGCAGCAGAGGAACTCCTGGACTTGTGCTAGCTGACAGTAATCTCCAATGGCTGGTTATGAACAGAGGACAGCATGTTCAAGTAGCATTACAAATCTATGCACTCCTCCTTTAGTTGAACTTAAGGTTGTTATGATGGCATAAAATGGGTCCTAGTCTAGTATTCTGTGCAAAAATAGGTTCTTTTCTCCTCTCTTTAAAAAAAAAAAAACACACATCCAACAGTTTAAAAGGTATAAGCACTTAGACAAGCACTCACCATTTTCCCAGGAGAGGGAAAAGAAAAAAAGAGTGCCCTGACTTCAATTTATATACTGCAGTATGAACTGCAGTCTTCTGGGTAGCTAGCAAAATACACATTATTCTTAAAAATGCATGGTCTCACTCTGAATCTTGCTAAACTACATGCCACAATCATAGGAATTTACTGCTGAAAGATGGTATATGCAACAATTTGCCCAGAACCTTATTATAAAAGAAACTAAAGTGAAAGAAACTGTAGAGTAGAGACACATTTTAAATGGTTTCTTTCAATGAAAGGTTAACTTGCACTTAGTCATTTTTAGTAGTCTCTGTTATGGTCTCACCTACTCAAGGTAGACAAAACATATAAATAAACTCTACCAACTGAAAAAATCTACACACTGTCTTGTCATACATCGTACAAACCACACATTGGTAGTATAAGTACAATGAATCTAAACAAGATCTGGAAAACATCACTCCAGTTTAAGGGAAATAACATGGAACCAACTGCAGTTCCAGTTATGGGTTTTAAAAACTGTGCCCTTTGTAATGTAGGTGGGGAATTGAGATATTTAATTCTTCCAGTAAAAAATTAAGAAAAGATGCCACATAGCAGAAAGCAACATCTAGAGAGGTCATTCATGATTCTCCCTCCTCCTCCCCAAAGTGTATTGCAGTGAATGTGCACACTACTATTATATTTAAGGGACTACATTCACTGTCCAAGAAATACTGCAAGCAGTAATCTCTCTTGCTCTTTTACAGTCCTTTTTTAGTAGATCTCAGAAGTGTTTTTGGCAAAGGACATGATTCTACATCTACGCTTTATGCGGTCTCTTCAAACACGCTGTTGCTTTAAGAACTGAAGTTTGACTTCAGAATTTTGTCATAGACTTAAAGGTCAAAAGCAAACACACTGTGCTAGCATCAGTAAAGACATAAGGACTGGAGGTCCTGTGTCATCCATGTGATGAGATACAACTACATAAAGTGAAAAAAAAAAAGGTAAAAAAAGACCTATAAATAGAAGTGACTTTTTTTTTGAAAGAAAGGCTTCTATTTCCATACTGACAGATATTGTTTTAAAATACAAGGTTTAATCTTACCTTCATTGTGTCAATTTTTCCTTTCACTTGTTCATTTTTAGCTAAAGCCCGCTCCAAACACTCTTTAGTGTAAAGCTGTGGATTACGGCCTTGATCGATGTACCTGGAAACAAGAAAGATATTACATTAGTGTCCCATACAAGCCAGAATTCAACTTTACCACACACAACAAAAATGAACACAAGTAAAAGAAAGCACTGGGTACAATCTGTTTCTTCATCTGTGTAAAGTGCGATATAAAGGCAGGCACTTCCAAACCATGAAAGAAATCATACTTGCTGATGAACCAGAGGCAGCTGGGCTGGTAATGCAGTATTTGTTCTTCATTTCTAGTGACTTTAGAAAACATCCAGACAGTCTGGAGAAACTACTGGGAACCAGCACTGTACACCACGACAATTTCCTACAGACATCTAAATTGGATCTTTCCACATGGGAAGGAAAAGAAGGGAAAGAGAGAGGGAGAGAGCAACAGCAGCAGTAGGACTTAACCCCAGGAAACAGAATACTGCTGTAAATAAAGCCAATAATCATTTGGTGAACAATGTTTGGCAGCAGAGAAGAATTGGACAGCTACAGAGCAAGGAAACAGAGGAAATGAGTGAGAACCTTAAAATTAAATCAATATGCATAATATTTTCAAAGAGCTACATACCCACCCACCGCTATTTTCTATGGAAACAACTGCTAGAATTACCACAAAAAATATTTTGAAATTGTAAATAAAACAGAAAAAAGCTTCACACTATTAAGAAACAAACTACAACATAAACAAGTTTGAACGTATCCAGTTGAAGCACATTTACTTAGCAATACCAAATGACAAGCTAAGAAAATTTGGAATTATGCAATTGAAGAATTAATATAAAAGTCCAGTAATACATATCAGACAACTCTGCCATTAAGCCTTATATACATGCAGTTCTAGTTCTGCAGCAATCATATGCTATCAGGTTTAGATGAAAAGCTATATATCAGATATCTAAATTAGTCACTCTCTCTCAGCCTCAGTTTTCCACAAATATAGGTAACAAAGTAGATCTGAGAATGAACACACACATTAATGATTTGTCTTAGCCGTGTTCCTTCAAACTCTTCAGGAATGTTTCTGTGATAAATTAAAAAATTAGGCAAACATCAGTGAAAAAAAATAGTAATGCATAACAGTAGCCTGGTATCCATCTAATGGTTTGATACTGTTTAGCTGTTACCTCTCCAGAGGCAAGGTTACTTACTCAAAAACTTCTAAAGGCACACTGATATCATGAAGCTGCTGTCGACATTTATCAATGTCTTGCAGTCCCGTAACCATAAAATTCCTAGGAATAGAGAATCAAACATAAGTTCATTGCCTATAAAACTGGCATTACAATAAAAAAACAACATTATCACTGTCTTTTATTGAGTCTGAGATGATAAGCCTACCCCCCCTTTACAATTCAGCATGAAAGAAAAAAAACCCTCATCTTAGATCTGAGAACAGGCTATGAAAGCAGCTGCTGAGACTCTGAACAGGGCCAGCATGGCTCATGTGGCAGGTAGGGGGGTGGTGTGTGGAGTGGAGGGAGTGCAGTGCAGGGAAGAGTGTAGGGGAAGGGGGCAACCGGGAAAGTGCAAGGGATGGGATGCAGGCACTGAGGGGAGCTTAGGCAAGGTGGGTGGTGCACAGTACAGTGAGGGGGAAGAGGGGGGAAGGCACTAGATGGGAACAAGTGGTCAGGAGGAGCGACAAGCGGCAGGAAGCGGGCTGCCAGGCCTCCCAGGTACTACTTCCCAGATCTCTGCTCTTTGGTTGCTTGCTTTAGAAGACTACAGGAACAAGCCACGGGATTAAGAGGGCTCCTTGAAGATTATCTACAGCCAGGAATGACATTCCCAAGAGCATAATCAGTGCCATACTATGTCAGACCAGCGGTTCCACTAGCCCTGTATCCAGTGGCAACAGATGCTTTAGAGCAGGGATCCCAAACTGTGGTACGCATAGCCCTGGGGCTACACAAGACATCTCCAGGGAGGTACACAAGATAAACGGTAATGGTGGATTGAATTTCATTATAAAAATAGTTGGGATTATAAAATATAAAACGTATGCTGGTCGGAGTATGGGGGCAGCTGGTAAATCCAGAAGAGGGCACACAGAAAAAAAAATTTGGGAACCTCTGCTTCAGAGGGAGAGCTAGACCAGCGGTTTTCAACTTTTTCAGGTTCAAAGCACCCCTCAGAAGATGCCAGCTCTTGAATTTTAGGGATGTTGCTTAAGTCTTGTAGCTCTAAGCACATAGGCAACAAATTGGTCTAATATGAGATACCAGATTTACCCAACAACTTGCCAGCTCTTCACTTTCACACAGAAAAACACCAGGGCAGCTCTGCTGCTGCAAAGAGCGCAGGCCAGCACAGCAGGTTAGAGCGTTTCTACCATGATGGATTCCTATGCAAGATCTCCAGGCCCATCCTGCTTATCCCACCTGCACGCCTACCGGAACTGACAGTGTGCAGCACCCCGCAGCACCCCTGGGCAATGCAGGGTGAGCTCTTTCCTGCCCCTCGCCCTCCCCACGAGCTCAAAGATGCCAGAGCAGGACCACAGAGATCGAGCTAGGGGCAGGGCCACACCCCCAGACCTACATGGACCCGCCATCCCCCTATTTGCCTGGCGCTATTGACACCCCTGGGGGCGGCCGCACCCCCGGGCTCAGGCAGGGTCTCCCGGGTCACGTGACCCCCGCGCACGCATTCGCCCTTCGGAGACCGGAACGCGGGGGGCGGGGAGGCGGGGCGGGGAAACGCCGCTCACAGCTTCTGGTTGAGGCCGGCCTGGCTGCTGGGCTGGAAGTCGCTGACGATGATACCGAGCTGCCGGATGTTCTCCACAAACTTCTCCAGGTGCTCCTCCAGCGAGTCGAACTTCTCCGCCATCACTGCTCGAACCGGTACTTCCAGGTCAAAGAACTGCTTCCGCTTCCCGCGCGAGAAAAGGAGTGGGCGGTGACGAGGGAAGCCCCGCCCACTCTCCCCCGGGAGCCAATAGAATGGGGTCGTGCCGCCCACTCGGGCGCATGCGCGCGGCGACAGGGTAAGAGGGGGATTGTGCCCGGCGGCCGGGGCTTAGGGAGGGGCGTGCGTGTTCCATCTCGCTGCTGAACGCGAAGGGAGCGGCGGGTGGGGAGGTTTCATCCCTATGGGGTGGCTCTGCGCATGCGCACTGCATCAGCACGGAGGGGTGGCTTATGCCTTGCCTGCAGAGTGCGTTGCCCTTCGCATCCATGGCCCCAACCTGCAGGAGTGCATTATATACTGCCACTGAGGGTGCACCAGGTGGGTGGGCACTGGCTGCCAGACGAGCTGCAGAGCTCCACGCTTCACCCTCCACAGCACCCCTGTGGGAAGGAGGCAGCAGGGGCCAGCTTAGCAGCTTTGGGGTCTGCCTCCAAGTTCCTGCTGGGCCACAAGGACCAAGCAGGAAACCTCATGGCCTTGGGCTTCCAAAAACAGGAATCAGTGTCTTGGGCAGCCACGCCAGCCCACCTACAGCAAACGAATGCCTGTCCGTGGTTGCTTTGTGTCCTTGCACCTGCCCGCCTACAGCAAACGAATGCAGGAGGTCATTGCATGTTGCCCAGCTTACGTGCAAGAGTGCAGTGTCAATGTGTGGCAGCATTTATTGTACAGCACTGCTTCCTTCCCACCTGGGAGCGTTTGATGGATGCTACTCGGTGGCCTGCAAGCGGTCTTTGCCTGGATGCTGTGCTGTACAAAACCACACTGGCATTGGGATGGAGCTGTTTGCACCTGGTTTTGGAAAGAAGGTAACAAGTGATTTATGCAACCAGAAACTCAGCGGATCTCCAGTGAATCCACGGATGTAAGGGTGTCTCAGGACTTGGGAGTTGGTTACCTGACCCACAAGTAGCTGGCTGCAATGACTTCGATGTTATGGAGCTTCTCCCACTCCAATGGAAGGGGGTTAGCAGCAGTCCTAGATATTTGAAAAATCAGATCTGGTGGCTAAAAACCTTGTTAGCATTGGAACTGGCATCACATCAGTGATGATAAGAACAAACAGCAGGCTATATAAGATGCTGCAGGACAAACGTGGCTTGCCTTGTTTAGTTCTTGCTTTCTGTGTTTATTTTTCTATATGGTTCCTATATACCCAAAGAAACCCTTACTTGGAACATCTGGTTCCCTAAAGAGAGACATACATGTGGTTTTCCTTATCTCCGAGCCACAGAGAAGCATTCCATCAAGTATTCAAGCCTATCAGCTGTGGAGAACAGCTGCCGAAGATAACAAAATTGTGCACTGCATGCTGGCACTCAGTCAAGCTAGCTGTCAGTAGGATCTGATCCATTGGGAAGAACTGAAGCCACGTGTCGAGCTTTTTAGGAAGAAGGACAACTGCTGCGTGGCAGAGATGCTCTTTGCCATATGCAGCAACAAGCAGAATTGTGTGCACTTAATTCACCCAAAGTCTATACTAGCAGAAGTGCAAAATGTTATCAGAGCATTTGAGGGCAAGTATACCAACCGTGCCAAACTTGTCCATTTGCTGATTATTCTTCTAACAGGTATATGTGGGATGGTTCTGATCCCCATGGCATACACTAAAGTTCTTAGTGCTCCCACTGAAAATCATTTTGGTCTGTTGCCTGACTCAAGCTTCAGTTTTTGAGAAAGCAATCAAAGAAGCCAGGCAATCACCAGAGAATAAAAGGCTACTCGAGAAAAGTCTATTTGAATTTGCTGTCCAGCTTAACAAAGAATTTCAGTAGTGGCTCCTGCCGAATGGGAAAACATTGTAAATTATGTCAATGCCAAGAGCTGAGGAAGGCTTTCCGAAAGTAAAGGTGCAAATAAGTGAGCTAGCTTAGGTCTTTGGATTCAACTCTGAAACCACTGATAGAGTTGTGACAGGTATGTGCATTTTATCAGATGGGAAAACATCTCATATTTTGTCTTTCTGAGCTAAGTCAGCAAGCTTTGTGTTGTAGGGAATACTAACCTCTTGGCAGATCTCCATCAAGTGGCAATAGTAGTACATTAACTGCTGTACTCTTATGCTGAAGTTCTGTGTCTATATACCAGTCGTTCTCAACCAGGGTGCCACAGTTCCTATGCATGCTTTGAGATCCTTTCAAGGGTGATACATGGTGCCACATTATGTTAGCACTCTTAGGTGTGCAAACATGATTCACAAGATAAACCTAGAGATTTCAAATAGAAATCTATAATGTCAGAAACATTTTGACCTGCTATAGTCTTTCTGAGTTCTTTGCAACAGAAGAATTGCTCTATTTTTTTCTGTCATCAGAAAACCAAGTGAAAACCAGGAGCTGGTATTTTTGGAGGAGCGCCTTGAGTCTAACATGAGGTACCTTGACCCTAAGAAAGCTGAGAACCACTGACCTATACAGTTTAATGGGGCATTTATACACATGCTGCGGGGGGGGGAATGGAAGGAGGCACTTTAATGAGAGCGGCTCTGAGAACCACTCTAATTAAAGCACCCAGACTATCACGTGCATCAGTGTCCCCACACTGAAAAATTACAGCAGGGGCACTTTAACTAAAGCTCATCGAACATGGTTTAGTTAAAGCCACCCCACTGCTATTTTTCAGCTCCGGGACACTAACTTTTGTGATGCTGGAGTCCACTGGAGCACGGTAATTACCACACTCCAGCAGACTTGATTAATTGAGCCTGCTCCCATGTGCTGTAATTACAGCACATTGGAGCAGCCTCGCTGAACGTGTTTAGGTGCCCATGAATGTTGTCAGGGGAAAGCCAGATAGTCATCTGAGTAGAAGTACATGAAATGCTATACTGACTATGAGAACTGGGCTGAGGCTCTTCATCAGATCATATTTATTTACAACCTGCCCAACACTTGGAGAATTAATTGGAATGCTGTCAGCCTAGCATTTTAAAGAGAGCTATTTAGCAGTAGAAAACAGCCTGAGCCACATACCAGTGATCAAGAGCCATCTGTATCCTAAAAAAATGGAGAATCAGACGTGGATATTATGCAGATTTAGATCTGGAGCAATTCCAAATATCCACTGAGAATCTCATAACAGTTTGTTGCGTGTGAATTGTTAAGTGACATTTGGGACAAATTCATAAAATGTATTCTGCTTAGTGATATTTAGAAACTTTTCAAGGTTTGTTTGACAAGTTACCACTTTCAGGAACGGGCTGCGGTGGAGGAGCTTTATTCTCAAGGGTCGTGAGGATTGCATAGCCTTTTCTCCCAGGGAACCCAGGAGTTTCACTCTCACAAACTGTCATGGATATGTCTGCACTATCCAATGCAGTACTGTGCAGAGTTATCCTGAACTGGTTATGAATGTACTACTTTTCATGCCAGAGACTACAAGGCATGAGGCACTGAGGTATCCCGAGCCAGCTTTGTGTACACAGGACCAGAAACAGTGTAGCCAGCACAGTGCTATACCTGGATTAATAAGCCTTACTCCTTAGCAGAGTCTAAAGATGTTTGTTGGACCTGCTTTTGTGGCTGGACCAGTGAAGGCGTGAAACAAAGTACAGGAGGCCTTGTGAACACTGAGTGGACACTGTAAGTTTTAACCAAAGTCTTCAGCTTTAAATTATATTTAAAAAAACAAGGTTTGGGGGGTTTGCATTTGGTTTTTGGTTTTTTATAAACTACTTCAGTTTCTTAACAGCCTTTTCAAAACCACTAAAGCAAAACAAAGTAAATATTTACAATCATGACTCACACATGCATGCTCACTAATACATACCACCTTTACCCAAGTCAACAATTATTAACCAGTCACAAAGGTGTCAACCAATCATCCTTAACTTGGCTCTCTATGGTGTGCCAAACAAAAACTATGCCTTGACTAAACTCAGTGATTACAAGCTGTAAAATTATGCGTTAATACTTCTTCATAACAATAGCATAATATAGTTTACAGAGGGCAAATGCACCATCATCTGTGAGCTGTTCCTCTCCTGCATAGCTGGTTGTGCTTAGTGCAGCAATGTCCATATCAAAATGTGCTGGTTCTTTGGTCACGAGTGCTGTTCTTCCTTTGGGTCAGACACTGTTAGTGTTTTCCATCAGAGTGTGGGTGTTCCAGATTGCAAATTTCTTTATGTAATTTGAACCACAGAGAGAGTGATTCCCATGGGACATGGTTTACCATCAGGTGAAATCATAGAATCATAGACTTGAAGGACTGGAAGGGACCTGCAAGATCATCAAGTCCAGTCCCCTGCCATGGGCAGGAAGTTATTAGGCTCAAACAAGCTCAACAAGGTGCTTATCCGGCCTCATCTTGAACACCTCCAAGGATGGCAACATCACCACCTCTGCTGGGAGTGTGTTCCAGATTCTGGTAATGCTTACGGAATAATTTTTTTCTTAATGCCCAGCCTAAAATTTTCCCTCTATTAGCTTGTGCTTGTTTGTCTTCATCCTCCTTTGAGGTGCCTTCCTAAAGAGTTGCTCCCCTGGATCTTGATGCTCACCTCTAACATACTTGTAGGTGGCTATCAAGTTACCTCTCAGCCTTCTCTTACTCAGACTGAACAGGCCTAGTTCCCAGAGTCTTTCTTCATAGGGCCTATCGTCCAGGCCCCTAATCGTACAGGTGGCCCTTCTTTGTACCCTGTCAAGCTTATTGACATCCTTCCTGAACTGTTGGTGCCCAGAACTGGACACAGTACTCCAGCTGTGGCCTCACTGACACCAAATAGAGAGGGAGAAGCACCTTGAAACAGATGAGGGCACCTTGTCTAGCCCTTCCCTATAAGGGATGAGCAGAATGCATCCTAATTAGGCCTGTTCGGTCATGACTGAAGCTGCCAAATTGTACACCTCAGTTCCAGGTACAACATGACTATAATACAATCTTCACCTCCGTGTAGATCCACGACTAGAGATTTCCGGTAATTGTTAGTACCTGCACCTGTGGCACTTGCCCATCACCTTAGAATTAGGCAAATAATGCCTGGATCAAGACCACATAAACTAGCAATCATCTCATTTGAAACAGTGTTGTCCCACAGGGTGTGGAGTTAAAGCTGCTGTGCTGTCACTTCGTGATTGCAAGTGGTGTACATGTGTGAGAAGGTGATGAATGCACCTGTATGGCTTTATGCTGCATCTCCTAGGCTTTTTGTTTTTTTAGTCTAGCATTATTCATTCTTGGAAGTCACACTTTCATTTTTTTTGTTTGTTTGGGATTCTTCCAGTTCTTAATTCCAGCCATTTTCCTTGATCTACTTGTTCTGGAATTTAGCTCATGACATAGTCAATGCCTGCTTGGCCTTCGGCTAAGCAGGATCTTGACCCATGTGGACTAGTGGAGTTCTGTTTCAGAAAGCTTTGGAGGTGGAGGTTTTGGGTATGAAGTTATTATTCCTCACCTGCTCCAGAGCAACACTCTACAGGAGCTACCTGTGTACTAGCACACAGGAATGAGGGACCAGGGAATGTAGAGCCTAGTGCATGTCTGACTCCAAAGAACCACCAACCACTTTTTCCCAAGAGAGAAGCAAACCTGTTGCTTAAGGTGATAAAGTCTAGAGGCTTCAGTGAAGATTTCAGAGTGCCGTCATTGGCCTTTTTGCAGACTAATAGGATCCCAGTCCCTAATCATGGCAGAAATCCTCCATACGCACTATGCATGTTTTCTTTCTTAAAATTTGAGCCATAGCAAAGATATATTGGCTTTTTATACTGAAACGTTCTCATCAATTCTTGCAGTAGCGCAGATCTCTTTAGATAAAATAGCTTACATTTGCTCATGTGGAACATTTTGTAATTGCTAGGGTGTGTAATACATAAACATGTGTAATACTGCTCTGCCGCACGCTGTCTTTTATATCTCTAGTGGTTTCTGTTGTTTCATTAAATTAACTCAAATGAAATGCACCAACTTGCTGAAAAATTTTCCTGTCTTGAACTGTGTTTTTTTTAAATCGCAGATTTCAAGTTTTGCCCCCTGGTGAGTTTAACTGCTGTTCAGAATGTAGTATATTTCATCAAAATAACCATCACAGAATTCTTAGAATTTCCCATAGCTTTGTATTAGAAAGCAAATCAGTATTTCTGGTAAGTTATCACAAAGCTGTAGCTTGCCTTATGAAATCCAAGAATGTAAATTCACAACAGTTCCACAAGAGATGAAAAACCAGTTTTGGATGACAAGAAGAGATATAAATCTTAGTCTCCACAACCTGGTATTGGCTTTCAGCATTCCCAATTTATCAAATAAATATATGCAATATTGATAAATTATTTTCCCCATAAAGGTAAATCAATACTATATCATACCTAGCATCATATACAAATGCCAGATGGTTAGAGTCCAACAGCATTTCTGTTTTTCATTTTGCTGTGGATAAATGAGGAGTTCTTGACTCTGCTTTAGTTTACTTCTGTTCTTCCTAACTTTGCTTTGGTTTGTTGTTCATTTCATTTTGCTGAAGAATATCCCTGTTTTACCATGATTTGCAAACCCACTTCTACTCTCAATCCCAGTTCTGCTTGGCTCATGACACCTCTTCTGTTCTAAACCTAACTTTTTAAATTGAGTTTCTGTGGCATTTGTGGACCAGTCATAAAAGCTCTGACCCCACTTAGGGTTGTAACATTTAGTTTGGGAACTGCTATTATCAGCAGTGTAACAAGCTGAGGTGGCACCCTGGGAAAACCCTGCAGGAGAAACAGGGCTGGGTATCTTGTTCTTAGAGCATGGGTGGGAAGGGGGCAGCAGCAATACCCATGCTGGGAACTCCTAAACAGTTCCCAGCTGAGCTGCTGCCACCACTGATGTACACTGTGCTTACTCCAGATGCTATTCTTAAAATAGCAGCAGCCAGGGGCTGTTTTGGAGTCCTAGCATAGATATGCTGCCAGAGTGTGGACTCTGCAGGGTTAGTGGAGTGATTCCTAACCTGGCACCTGGGGTAGGTACCCCTCTGGTGCACCTTCAGTTATGCTACTGCTTGATATAGGGCCTAGAGAAAGAAAGAAGCACAAAGTCTAGCTAGTGACTTCTCTGCAAAACTTTGCCAGTGCCTCATTTGAAATGCTGAGATCTGAAAACTGGCTGTTGATTTATATGGCCTTACATCTGGGCTGTGTCTAAGTCTCTGCAGATTTTTTTGGACAACATTTCTAAGATATGGTCATTCTTATCTATGCACATAGCTGAAGTTTTCATGTATGCTCACATCAGTTCATATCTCAGCTATTGCAATATCCTTTTTCTGGCCTTGCTAATAATCCACCACTTTGATATGGCGACTTCTCTTTGCAACCTTCTATTGGTCCTGCCTCTTCATTTACATCAAACATATACTGTGTGTCTTCACTTTCAGAGCCCTTCTCAGACTATCCTCACACTATCATCTCTCATTCAGTACAAGCAGGGGCCTGGGATGGTGTGGATGTTAAGGTGGACAGCCCAGAGGTTGCAAGTTCAGGGCCATGGTAGAAGTATTTGTGATGTGGCCATGCCCAATTCCAGTGAATCTATGAATTCTGCTAAATACCTTGTCACAAGGACACAAAAAAGGAAAGTACAAGGAGTCAGGTTCTGCCCCCCCAGTAAACCCATCTGCTATTCTCTATTATCCACTGGTTAGATTTTCAAATAAGCAGCCCTGTGCTGTCTCCCATGCATGGGAGGCCCTATTTGTAAACATCCTCTAAATTTCATTACCTTCCTTCAGATCCCTCCCATCCTTTCCTTTGTCACTGCTTATCAAAACTTTGGAAGGAATATTATAACTCATATTTCAGATATATATCAATCTCTACTGTAAAGGATGAGGAAGAGACTTCATGGGTGGTAAGAAGAACAGATGATCCCACATCTTATTTCAGCAGTCTTCAACCTTCCTCAGAAAAATCCAGTTTTGGTTCCTGTCAGAAATAGGCTACAACACCAGATGGACCTCTGGTCTGATCTAATGACAGCTCTCTTCTTCCATCCACAGGCATATCTTCTGTGTTACATCGCGGTGTGCTCAGAGCTCCCAATTCTAAAATGTTTAATTTCTTAACAAGTCACCTTCACATGTAGGTTAAGTAATTCCATCAGTGTAAATGGCTGATTGAGGATTCTGCCTTGCTTCTTGCAGGCAAATTTTAAAATTTATGTATGACAGAAAAATATATTGGTAGATCATTATCAAATCAAAACTACCAGCTTGAAGTGAAGGCTGTTTAAAGAGATTTATATAAGAGCTACATACTATTATTGGTGTTGCTTTTAATATCTTATAACGAGTTTATTTGTAAGAGAAAATAAGCAAAAACATCAGTGCATCATTTTATACTACCGAGTCCTGATCACAGCCATGTGCTTTCCTCGGACTGCACAGATTACCTCCATCTCAGCTTCTCTGAGACAATGGACAATTGAAAATAGAAAGCTTGGTTCATTTAGAGACCAAGTCACTGCACAGTGGGCACTGAAATTGGCCTTTAAAATATACATGTTCCAGTGATGCTACTGTCCTGAATGGAGACTGATGTGCTATAGGTAGGACTACTTTAACTTCTTAAAAACTCTTTTCCTCTCTAGAAGACCATGGCTATATTTTGTTAGGTACTTTTCTTCTGGAGAGAAGCTTAATTTTTCTGTATGCTGTAAATAATTTCTTTCAATAATTATTTGCACTGTAGTGTATTTTAATGTGTGTGAAGGAATAAAATGGATGTTTCATTTCTATTATTGTTGTATTATTTTGCATTTATTGAAACTGTTGTAGATACTTCAAAGTGACCAGCCCTGCAGTTTTTCCTCAGGTAAAAATATCCACTGACTCAGCAGGACCTCAAATTAAACCAGTGGAAGTTTAATCACACACCAAAGCTGCAAACTTGATATTTCTTTAAAAAGAGTAATAGACATATAGTGTCCAATGCATCTGATTCCCTTTTCCTTTAGCCCTTTTGTACTCTGTACTAGCATCTTGGCAGCAATTACAATTCAGCTATTACAATTTCAAATCACAGTCAGCACCAATAGGTCAGTGTAGATAAGGATGAATCATATTCAGTATTATGTCAGCTTGCCTCTGTTAAGGTCCACAAAGTGAGCCAGATCCTATTCCACCCTTTAGTTGAGATCTACCTAAGTCATGGAGAGCAACAGGGCTTTTCATGGGCTGCTTGCATTGTGTGGAGCTGATTTTGTAGCCTTTTTGCGGCAAGCCTGCACCTCACCACTGATTGGCAGAGGGATGCCTGTTGTGTGGCCCTGCCTGTAGCTGCTTAATAGTGGAGAAGGGTGGGGCAGGGCCACATAACAATCCTCTCAGCCAATCAGGGGCAGGGGGGTGCCATCTTGGCTGGTCCCCTACATGCTCCCCCATGGGCTGCAGATACTCACTGCCACTGGGGAGCCAGCATTATATTTTTACTAATTTTTTTTTCCACCCACAATGCCCAATTTCATGATTTCAGCAAAATCTGCAAAATCACAAATTATACAACAATTTAGTTCATTTATATGCCTAAATGCAATCCTATTCCATCCTGTTCAAGCCCTGAAGAAAAGCTAACATAAAAATTGGTCCTTCTCGTGCTTATGGCATCTTGTGATTGATTTAGTTTTGAAGCTAAGATGAGGATGCATGATAGAAGTAGGTGTGTGGATGTTTTTTAAAGACTTGAACAGGAGGAATTCAGATCACATTTAGGTGCCCAAGTCCAGTTAGGTGGATTCAAAAGTAGATTGGGATCTGGCACACCATCTACAATAGTCATTATCATGTTAACTATCTCCTTTTCTCAAAACTGCGTTGAAAAACAGTAAATTGCCGAGAGAATATACTGAAGGTGTTCAAGATTGTGGTTGAAAACATACAAAGCAGTCTGATTAGCCATTTTACTACTCACAGGTTCCTCAAGTAGATAATAGGCAGACATTATGACCATAGAAAATTGAGCTTAAAGAATGCCAGAGTAGTGAGTGCAAGGAATAGAGGAATTTGGGAAAGAGCCTATCAATTATACATGCATTGGTCTGTGGTACTACCATATCTGCAATGTATCCATACCTGCTATTGGACAGAAAAATACCATTTTTTAAAAATCCACATATACTCTTTCAGTATTACAAAACGTACTAATAGTTCTGAATAAACAATTCTGACAAATGAAGAATTTTGACTAATGAAGAATCCATTTTACCTAATAAGTGAATTATTTTCATCAGGTAACAAATATTTTGTCAGGTAGCTTGTGGAAAATAGAAGGCAACATTTATTTTAACCCAATGGAACATTACGTTGAACAAAATAGAAATATGATGTTGCTCATAAGAATAACACAGTCCCAAGAGAGCTTCTGACCTTTCTGATTTCCTTCTTTATATCATTCCCGTATCTCATTACCTTCTGTGATCCTGATAATTTTCTAGATTTCATGAAGTTTAGATACAAACAAGGAAATATATTCTGTGGGCAAGACGCTTTCTCTCTTATTTTAGGTCAGAAAGTTTTCAAGATGACTCAGTCAACTGAAATTAGGAAAACAAAGAGCTTTAAAATGAAAAGTAATTTAATTCACAATACAGACTTTTGAAGTTGTCAGTCACTAAGCAATCCTCCCCCACCTCTCTCTCTCATATCTACTGCTGGTAAAAAAAACAACAACAATGTTTTGCTAAAGTGCTTGTAAAAATAAAGAGAAATAACCTACACAGGAAGAAAATAATCCAGTATCACAATAACGTTTTTTTAAAAAAACCAACAATGAAACAATCTTACAAAATGCTAAATATCTACTTATATTAAATTGGGTGGAGACAATTTTTTCAGCCACAAGATTTTCTTGATGGAATGATGGAGTGCCTGAGGCTCATTACAATGCATGTACATTTTGAACAGAATTTTATTTTACCTACTGGACAGCCAAAGTACAGCCTGTGATCAACTCTGAGTTGCCCAACAATTGCATAGGAGCAATTCCATTACCGCCTCTGGATATGTAAGTTCCTCTATTATGGGAACAAGGAGACAACTCTGTTTCTGCAGGGCAATTCTATCAGGATAGATTTTGGCTTCTGTAGGGGATGCCTAGCTTTTGTTCAGAGTGGAAGTGATATCAAGATTTTGCCTTCTCTTCCCCCATTCCTCACCATATGCTCATCTCCATGCCTGACAAGCAGGGAAGAATGAAAAAAAGACAACAACCCAAACAGTACCATCTCTGTAGGAAGCCATGCCAAAGGGGGTGGCATGATTGTTCTGCCAGGACACCTCACTCCCTGCCATGTGCTCCCTTCCTGCCTCTGTCACAAGCTCATCCATATGGCCTCATCTGTAAGGGAGATTTAAAAGATGGTTTGAACTGCATAATGTCAGTGACTGGGCTGTTAGGCATTTGGCTCAAAACCAGCTAAAACTGAGAGCCCTTGTCAGCTGAGGCCACTGCAAAAAGCAAGAAAGTCAACAATCTTTGGCAGCAGAGGATCCATATACAGCTTTAGAGGGGATTCAGTTCTTCCCATAGGAAATAAATCCAAACAGTTCCTGCAATCCCCTTTCCCCCACAGCAGTGGCTTTGCTAGGGCAAGGGAATGAAAGCTCAGTCCATGCTCCAGTTGCTTAAGCCAGCAAGATTCTCAACCTTTCTGACCTTACGTCCCACCAACCATTGGTCCCAAAAACCCTGGTCCCACCATGATAAATGATGAACAGGGGAAAGCCCCCCCCCCCCCTCCCTGGCGGCTGGTCAACAAGCAAACCCAAAAGAGCCAGCAGCAAGCCCGCCACTTCTCTTCATCCCACCTAGACGACCTTCACATCCCATCCCACTGGTTGAGAAACACTGGCTTAAGCAACTTATCAGTGAATTTCTGATACTAACCCATTCCAGGTGGCAATTTTTCATTCAGCAGGAACATAAGCCAATTGGTAAAATGAGTGAGCAAGACAAACCACACTCAACCATCTCAGTAAAGAAAGACACGTCCTCTTGTATATGTGCTGTGTAACAATGAGGCTTCTGAACAGGTCCCATGCATGCTTTAAAGATACCCTACCTCTTCCCAGGAAGATTAGCAACTTTTTTTCCCTTTCAGGACCTCAGTGAGTTTTCCACCCCAAAAACCAGAGATGCAGGGATGCCTGGTTGGTCAGACAGGTTTTCAAAACCCAGTCCTTCTCTACCCTTCCACTACTGACAGTCAAACTGCTGCATCTAGAAAGCACAATCCCTTTTCTAGAAGTAATGCTTAATGCAGAAGCAACAGAAAATTAATTCACCATTACTGGTACATGTTCTGGTGCTTCCTAGAGAGATTTCTTCCTCCAGCCACCTCAAGATAAGCAGAGACATCAGATCAGCTATAATAAAAGGTACAAAGCTGGACATTGGGTGGCAGCAGTCCTGTGGGAATCCACCTCTAACATTTCAAAAACAGGCATGAGGGGCATCCTTCCCTGCCCTGCCAAGGCATACACAGCTCAGTCTGCAAGGATTTCACTCCTCAGCCTCATTGCAAGAGGCTGCAGTTTGGGCCAAGAAGGAAACAGGCTGTCAACAACATTTTGATGGAACTGCTGCACTAGAGTAAGCCATTCCTCCAAATCAGAGACTTGTCAGAGCAGCAGGAAGAGTGCAAGAGGCAGGATCAGGAAGACAGAGAAGGGGAATGCCTCTGGGGGAGGGAGGCCACAGACAGATAGAGGACTAGGAAGTCCTACAGTAGCTGGGGGCCTGGTTTGATCAGTCGCAGGCCCCAAAGCACATAGGGTCCTTGGCCCAAATGCTGGTACTATTCAAAGGATAGACCCGGGTCCTTTTTCAGGCCCAAACTCCAATCCTGGGACCTGTAGAGGTACATCCCCCACCAAATGTGTCCTCCACTGTGTTGGACCAGGCTACTCAACAAGTAGGATGATTTCCTGCCCTGCCTCCAGCCCCATGCGTGGATGTGATCGGGCTGCACAATGAGTGCTGCCTGACAGCACCCTTGGGGAAGCTGCAGCAGGCCCTAGGGAGTTCGGCATGCTCAACCCAGCCCTGGCAGCAGTGTGGACCCCAACAGCATCCTCCAGCCATCTGCAGCCAGATGGGCGGGGGGTGCACTGGCTGCTGCCTGCTCACTCAGGCTCTTCCCAGGCGGGCAGACACCAGCCCTGCACTCCTGGTGGTGCAGGGCAGTGGCGCTGGCTCCCACAGGTTTGACTCCCCCCGCAGGCTTTGAGGGCTGTGCTCCAAGTGACTGGGAAATAGGATGGAGGAAGGAGCTAGGGCAGGGGTGGGCAAAATACAGCCCACGGGCTGAATATGGCCCACCAAGCTATTCTATCTGGCCCACGGGGCCCCTAAAAATTTTAGAAAATTAATATTAATCTGCCCTGGGCTGCCTGTCATGCCTCCCTCAATGGCTTGCCAAAACTCAGTAAGCAGCCGTCTGCCCAAAATAATTGCCTGCCCCGATCTAGAGGGAAGGAGGAGGGCAGAGACATAGGAAGGCAGCATAACTTGCCAGAAAGACAGAGACACTGGGGTGGTCGTGGGTCTCACCTGCATGCGGCAGTGCCTAGCTTAGGTCAGATGCTCCCTCCACGGAGGGGTCTGGCAGAGCTGGGGGCAAGGAGATTGCAGCCCTGATCTGCTCTGTCCCACCTAGGAGATCTGGGAGAACTGAGTTGATAACAGGGACAGCGTCCTGGATTCCCCCTAGATATAGTCAATCTCCTACTGTTCACCTGCACTCCAGCAGCATGACAGGAGCCAGAAGAGGCCTGGGAGGGGGAATACAAGGGGGGCAGGGGGCTGCAGGCAGCAAGCATCACAACCACTAGTGCTCAAGTTATGCTCTTGCACCTCAGGATGCAGCCTTAAATTATAGCTTACGGTACTTTTCCTGGCTGCTCTGTAAGTTCAACCCCATCTCCTCCCTCTCCCCCTTTTTGGTTGCAATTTAGTTTAGTTATTTATTGTTTTGTGGCTAGTTGCTTAAAGTTAATTTTTGTTCAACAGCTGTTCTTTGCAGGTCCTTGTTTTATGGTTGCACTTAGCACACAGTTAACTTTTTATTTTTCTGGTTACACATTGAACATAGTTAATTTACTGTTTTCTGGGACTTTGTACATAGTAACATTTTGTTTGTTGGGTTAATTTTTTTTTAATTAACCTGTTTTGATTTTTTTCCATTTGGTCAGTTTTAGCTATTTAGCCTTATTTATTTGGGTAGAGAACTTAACTGAATGAACAACACAAATACAGTGTTGATGGTTCCCAAACAGTAGTAATCCAACCCAAATAAATAAGGCTAAATAGCTAAAACTGACCAAATGGAAAAAAATCAAAACAGGTTAATTAAAAAAAAAT